ATGAAAAGTGAAAATAATCATTGAAGTTGGAATATTCTCAAGCACAAAATAGAATTCCCTCTTCTTGTACTCAGATTTAAATTGAGTTCCATTCAATAAATGTGCAAGCAAATGTGTTAGGCATTGAAGACTCAGTCACACACATCATGTGTACAATTTCTACTATCTGGCGAGGTGCATGCTCAGAGAGAAAATTTCCACTCGGCACTGGTGGGGTGGTGTTTTCCCTTGGTATGGTTTGGTTTGAGGACAAGAATGCAACACAGGTTTATTTGAACGGATAGTTACAAAGAGCTGGACTTCCCCTTCTTTAATTATAACCCATACTTTGCTTCCATTTATATCAGTATAAATATAAGATCCAGTCCCTCTGACTCTCACATATGCACTAGAGACAGCCGTGGGAGGCAGAAACCAGACTGAACAATTGGCCTGAAATCAAAACGTGAAGCGGAAAAAAACAACTTGCTTATATCTCTATCTTTTAAATTTAACTTTTTAATTCAGTCAATGTCATCTCTTATTCACATAGATTCCAGGGACGGTCTTGCTCCTCTCGTCATCGACCTTCCAGGAGTACAATAGCTATAAATAAGTCGCCGTGAAATAAAAGCAAAACATGTGAGTCACTGCGGCCATTGTTTCCTAGGAGTACACGGGAATTAGTGTGAGATGATGGGGATGAATAACTATGGTGATGATGTGAAGGGGGAGGGAAGAAATGAAATTTCTGTTCAAAGAAACCTTGTTCCCGTAAGTTCCAAGTACACCTCCAACTGTGTAACAGCATTTGCTTTTTTAGTTTATATGTACCCATGGGCTTCATTGGACTTAAGCTCAAAGGACCAAACTCTGACAAGCATTTTTGTATCTGTGACTGGGAAGCCACACAAAGTCATAGTCATGCAACATGAATTCTCATAGCTGCCTCTTCAGGGGAGCTCAGGAACTTTGTCATTTACATCATCTCTCTTTTCTTTTCAGAGAAAAGAGTGATTCATTTTCATCTTTCAAGCCTCAGCCCTAAGCCTTTACGTCTTTTTAAAAAACTCCCTAGAACACTTTAGCTAAAATATGTCAAACTGTATAATTCAGATATAAAAGGTTCATTTGACTGTATCTGTTAGGAAATTAAGTGCCTCATAATGGAGAGTAGATTCAACCAAGGGAGAATCTCTACTCTACACCTTCAAACTCTCTCTCAAAAACCATCCAAGTCTGTATGAATGGTTAAAGAGATGGTGGCGCAGCCATTCAATTAAATCTTCTGTAGCTAGGAACATTAATTCACAAAAATAAATTCATGACTTGGGAAATGATTACAATAAAATATTAAATAAAAAACAGGATTCGAAGCTGAAAGTTTAAAATGATGTCAATTATTAACTGTACATGCATAGGGGGAAAAATGGGGCCGCATTACTTTGCCAGCATTTAAATTTAACTTTTTTAATGCAGCATTTAAATTTAACCTGTCACAGCAGGGACCACAGAACCACTTAATCAACAAAAGTTTATTTTCTTACAGTTTTGGAGGCTAGAAGTCCAAGATCAAACTGTAGGCAAGGTTGGTCCCCTCAGAGGGCTGTGAGGGAAGAATCTGTTCCAGCCCAACTTGGCGGCTTTATACGGCCATCTTGTCCCTCTGTCTCAAATTACCATCCTTCTCTATGCTTGTACATCCAAATTTTCTCTTGTTATAAGGACAACAGTCATCTTGGATTAAGGTCTGATTTTGAGTTACCTTACCCCTTTAAAGAACCTATCTTCATATATGGTTATGTATTCTGAGGTACTAGAGGTTAGGACTTCAACACAAATTTTTTGGGGGGGCCACAAGACTTGTCCATAACAAGAGCTCAGTATACAAGAGTGTTTTAGTGGTAGGATGAGGAATGATTTTCATTTTTCTCTTCAGTAGTTTTATGAGTGTTTCAAATATTCTACAATAAGATGCGTTATTTTCATATTTAGAGAAAATGAATTATCTTTGAAACACGTTTTTAGGATTCTTGAGATTTTCCATCAAAGCCACATTCTTAGTAATGAGTTAACTGCCAGGCATGTGTTAGGGAAGGACCCACTCCTCACTCTGGAACCCATGACCCTCTGTGAACTCTTGGCTTGCATTCCAGAAGGCCAGGGGCCCTGCCTTTTTCTATGAATTCCCACTGGAGGAGTCAGAAGGGCAAAACCATCCTCCAAAATCAGGTCAACCCCTCTTAACCACCACCCATACACATACCTTTCACCCAAGTTCCCTGGGCAGATATGAATTCAGAACAGAGGTCACCAGTTTCCTGGAGGATTAGGACACCGTGTTCTAATTATGTCCACATAAATGCTGCTGTTGGCCAAAAACTATTCTTTCAAACGCCTGCTTAAAATATATATTTAAGTCACAAGTCAAAGGTCTGAGGCCTTGGTGATTGTGCTTTTTGGACTGATTTTGATCCACCTAATGTCCTTGGGAATGGTGGAATCCCAGTGGCTCCTGAAGGGAGAGGGAGCAGGAAAGAAGCAGGAAACTCACCTGACCCTGTGGCAACACCTGCCCTGTAACAGCAATAGAATATAAACATCAGTACTTTCCACACCCAGGAATGTGGCTAACCACTCCTCAAATACTATCTCTTTAATCCTCAGGACAACATGAAGGTGATTCTATTTTTTAGAAATGAGGAAATAGAGAAGATGCACAGCTAATAAGTGGCCCAGCCAGGATTGGTGCCCAGAGCCGCAGTTCATAAGCTCCCAGGACTGTAAGTCCACAAAGGCAGGAGGGCCATGTCTGTTCTACCACATCCCTAGTGAGGTCCACACTAAGTACTTGTTGAGTAATAAGAGAACGAGATCAAATTAGCTTTTTGCTGAGAGCCCATAGCACCAGGTAAAGACTTGTCAAGCATTATCCCTAATCCTTGCATTAACTTTGTAAAATTAATAGTATTGTCTTACTCCATCCAGGCTACTATAGGAAAGTCCTATCAACTTGGTAGCTTATAAACAACAGAAATTTATTTCTCACACTTCTGGAGACTGGGAAGTCCAAGATTAAAGTGCCAGTAGTATTCAGTATCTGGTGAGGGCCTGTCTCATGGTTCATAAATGGTACATTCTTGCTATGTCCTCACATGGTGGAAGAACAAACCAGCTTGCTGGGGCCTCTTTTATAAAGGCTGTAATCCCATTCAGGACAGTTCTCCTTCATGCCCTAATCACCTCCCAGTGGCCCTACCTCCTAAGACCATCACCTTGGGGCTAAGGATTTTAACGTATCAATTTCGGAGAGACACAAACATACGGACCACAGCAATTATTGTCCCCATTTTATAGTTGAGATAACTGAGGTTTAAAGAAATGAAACATATGTAAGGTTCTCAGGACTGGAAAATATAGAGCAGTATAAGATTTTCTGCCCTCATAGAATTCATGATCAAATTGAGGATAATACTCATCTGTCTCTCTCTCTCTCTGTCTGTCTACCTGGACAGTTTATGCTAAGACCCAAATAAGGAAAATAGGCAATGTGCTCCAGAAGCTCAGCACACATGTGGATGTCACTGGGTTTGTTTTTGTTTTCGTGAAGTCCACATCCTCAGCAGACTGAGTTATCACAAAGCATTCCCTCAAGTGAAAAAGCCCAGTGCGTGTGAGCACAGAATCTGGAAATCACATGGCCATACCCACTGTGGTTGGCTGGGTGGAGGGAGAAGTGGGGATGAAGGGTGTTCACCAGCCACAAGAAGATCCCGGCAGCCTAAAGCAGGGGGCCAAGTCAATGTAGAAAGGCCCCAGGCAGCCTCTCACCCTAGACAATGTCCCTCCCAAAAACCCTGACATTCTCCAGCTCATCACACTGGACCAACCTTCTTCAAACACCTCCTTTACCATGCAAATTCCCAGCTAGACAGGGGTGCCACATTACAGTTCTGGGAGATGATAAAGATCAGCTGCAAAACCTGGAAGGCTGGAAATGAATCCATTCAACAAATGTTTATTTATTTAACTAAATATTAAAGACATGACAGAAGAACAAGGGTGAACAGGGCAAGAACTTTCCGGGGCGGGCGGGGTGGGGGGCACTTCCATTACAGCAGAGGAGGCAGACAAGTGGGTTGAGATACGAAAAAGTGCAAAGTTCATTCTGTGGAAAGTGCTGAGAAGGAAGGAAATAGGAAGAAGGAAAGAAAAAGAAAGTGGGGCAGAGACTGCCAGAGAGCTTAGCAGCTCTCGGAGGAGGTGACAGGGAAGCTAAGAACCGAGGGAAGAGAACCTGGGTGGAGGTAACAAATGTTTCGGCCACAGACAGCAGCAGGTACACAGACCAGGAGTGGGAAAGAGCATGGAGCATCTAGGCCAAGGTGGCCAGAGCCTGGAGGGCTGATGGTAGAATGGAAAGGTCAGAGGCTGCTGAGAGAGGTCACCTGGCCTCTGGGAGAGTCTGGCTTTAAATTTTTTTTTCTTTAAAGGCAAGGTCTTACTGTGTTACCCAGACTGGCCCTGAACTCCTAGGCTCAAGCAGTCTTCCTGCCTGGCCTTCCAAATTGCTGGGACCACCACACCCAGCACTGGCTTTTAACCAGAGAACAAGACAAGCCCCAGTGCACACTTTAAAAAGACCCTCTGGCTGTCCTGTGTAGACAGACTCCTAGAGAGTAATGATACTAGGTTAGAGATGGGGGCTGGGCTCGAGTAGGGGAGTGGACAGACATGGACTTAAAATGTATTCTTTTTTGTCATTACTTTCAATGGCAAAAATCTGCAATTACTTATGCACCAATATAATACTTTGGAGACAGAATTGACTGGGCAATAGAAGAACTCAGTGGCAATGGTGGAAAATGGAGATGGCTCAGTTACTAGGCCAGCCTCAGTTGCGTTGTTGCTTTTAATTATCGCTTCCAAAGATGTACTGGAGAAGACGTACTGGAGGAAGCCCTCATATGTGCTCTGCTTGCCACACCCACACAAATAAACAAATTCCTTTGACAACCTACCACTTGGTGCCACCAAGAAATTCTTGAAAATTCTTCATTTCTTGTAGGAATCTGACCCCATAGTGCAGGGAATGTCTCTGTTTCCATCTGAATAGGGTTTCTGGGCTTAAGAGCACTTCCCACTCCCTTCTTAGCATCTGCACGGTTCTTCTGGTTGGTCCTTCTTGAAGTGTATGATGATTTTGTTACAGAAAGCTAAAGAGGATATGTGGAATAAGACAATAACAAAACTAAGCTGAACAGTTAACGGCGGTGAGTATCTGGATCCAATCACTGAGTTACCTAGTCAACACTTCTTACACCAGAACACTGCGGAGAGTTCGTTTTTAAAGAGGCCTGATTTGTAACTTTTAACCAGAAAACAGATTTCCTGTTGAGCAAAACCTGCCTTTCTGAAAAGTTACTCTCAAGAAATTTTAAAGTTGTAGACGATAAAGTGTACAATACAGAAACTATAATGGACTAAGCCCAGTAAAACGTCACAGTTAAATCTGTATTGGTGATTCCGCTTAACGGCTCTCATTTTTTTTTTTAAGTGAGAACTGTCACGAAGAATAGCACTGTGTTTTAATTACTCTCCACAACATCCCCACAGAAAGGATTACAGAGAAGCTCCCCTGGGCCGCATGTGGACTCACACAGGTGTAGTGTCTAGCTTCCAGGATGAGCAATGCCCACGTACATTCAAAGACTGTGAAGCCATGATTAGCACTTAAGAGCTGAAAGCGAGGGAAGATGTTCTCTTTCCGGGTCCACAAGGGGCGGAGTTTTAAGGGCAAGAACTTCCCAGCGCCATGGCCCCCTCAATCCCTCATCTCTCTCCATCCAGGAGATTTAATGGTCTCTGTTTCAGTTTTCGCAGGCGTGGGAAGAATCAAAAAGTCAATCACTCTAGCAGAAGTTCTAAGGAACTCCTTTCATTGGCCAGAGGTCTTGGAGAAGGTGGGGTTCCTCCCAGGTTAAAACTCCGCTTCTTCCACACCCCTTTGGACTCTCTGTTTGGCTCCCCTTCCATGAACACTCCCTTCGTGGAAGCCATCTTTCTCCTGGATTTTTCCCTCTGGAGTCCCCTTCCACACTTTCTTGTGGAAGCCCGTCTTCCCCTCCTAAACTCCATCTCTCTATTCCCTTCCACTCAGTGTGGAAGCTGCTTTCCTCTCCTGGATTCCATCTGTCTGGATTCTCTCACTCAGCATGAGAGTTAGCTGTTACTTTCTCTCTCTCTACCGGAATAAATCACTTTCTACAAACACTTCTGAGTACAGCATTTACTTTTACTGCACACTGGGCCATGGTCTCCTACCCCATTCTTCAGGAGTGATAGACCAAGAACCTGGAGAAATGTCCTCTTAGGGGAACTGAAGGCTAGAACCCCAAATTACAAAAGACCTAAAGACATTCAGTAACAAGAACCACATCAGTTCTATAGTTTGCTAGATTTTTAATGGCAGGTTCAACTGATTAAAATTGAAAATTGTTAGAGGATTAAAAAAGAAAAATTAAAACATAGGAAATTGTAGTATTAGACAAAGAAGGAATAAATGCAGACAAAAATAATTGTATGCCACAAAGGTATTCAGGAAGCAGAATTAGGCCAGGTGCGGTTGGCTCACACCTGTAATCCTGGTACTTTGGGAGGCTGAAGCAGGCAGATCACTTAAGGTCAGGAGTTCTAGACCAGCGTGACCAACATGGTGTAACCCTGTCTCTACTAAAAATACAGAAATTAACCAAGTGTGGTGGCACATGACTGTAGTCCCAGGTACATGGAGGCTGAGGCAGGAGAACTGCTTGAACCCAAAAGGCAGAGGTTGCAGTGAACCGCAAGCACCACTGCACTCCAGCCTGGGTGACAGAGCAAGACTCCACCTCAGAAAAAATAAAAAAAAGAAGCAGAAGTAACAGGGAAGTAGAGAAAAGGAGAAGGAAGGGGAAGAGGAAAGATGGAGCAGAGAAGAGGACTTGGGGAGCGGTGAAGGGACAGAAGTGAGTAGGAAGAAAAGAGGGAAGAGGTAGAACTTACCACAGAATAAGGAAGGCCATTTCCAAAGGAAAAAATGTATCCATAGGGCAGATAACAGACTAAAACTATTAGAAACAATAACATGGTTTTATGGTCACTGCCCCTTCTGCTGGATTAAAAAACAACTGGATTCAAAATCCCAGTTCTGGCGTTAACCTGAGTTGCTATATCAACTGTGTGTCCAACCTCCTTTCATTGCAAATGAAAATCTTCACTCTAAAATGTGAAGATTCTAAAACAGGTATTTTCAAACTTGATCCTTCTGTGATGTAAAAAAGAGGCAGAACAGCACTGAGATGAAGACCTCAGGAGCTGAGGGGAGGCTCCTTCAATCTCTTCTCCACATGTGCCTTTTAAAAAGGCACTTAACATGTTTGTGCCTCAGTATCCTTGTCTACAAAAGAAGGCGATAAGAATATCTATGTCAGAGGATTCTAGTAAAGATTGACAATATAAGCCGTGTGTGCTATTATTATTATTATTATTATTATTATTATTATTATTATTTTGAGACCCAGTTTCACTGTTGTTATCCAGGCAGGAGTGCAATGGTGCGACCTCGGCTCACCGCAACCTCCGCCTCCTGGATTCAAGCAATTCTCCTGCCTCAGCCTCCCGAGTAGCTGGGATTACAGGCATGCGCCACCATGTCCAGCTAATTTTTATATTTTTAGTAGAGACGGGGTTTCACCACATTGACCAGGATGGTCTCGATCTCTTGACCTCGTGATCCACCCGTCTCAGCCTCCCAAAGTGCTGGGATTACAGGCGTGAGCCACTGCGCCCGGTCCCATGTGTGCTATTATTCGCAGAGATCTTTTATCCCACTTTCCAAGAGTCTTTATAGGCTAATCCATATGGGGAACTGTGGGTTTAACCATGTTTTACACCTGAATTTTGGTGTATGCTATTGTCAGCCATTTTATTGTCACACTAATGGGTGTGTGTTCTTTCCACATCTATGCATCACTGAGTCACATTGAGGCATATGCTTTTCCTTCTTTACAGAATCCCAGGTCAATTTTCTTTCCCAGTTGAACACATGGTGGCTCCAACTCTGGAAGGGAACCAGAGAATGAGGTCTGCTTTCCATGCTGATAAAAGCCACCTGAAGACTGAGGGTCCTTTCTTGGTTTCCACAACATCAAGCTTCTTGCCTCCTAGATTGGACTGTCCATTTTACAACTCCTTCCACATCACGGTGTTCTCTCCACCCTTATCCCCACCACCACGCCGTGTCTACTCAAAAAGTTGTATGGTGCTCTTCACTGAAACTCAAGCCATACAAACTAGCCCTGCTTCTCCGTGTTTGTCCATGCTATTTTTTTTTTTTCACCATAAAAAATACAGTATTTAGCTTGGTAACTTCATGAAATGGGAATGAGAAAGTTCTGTGTTTTAGTAGGGTTGAATCAAGTGGCTAGCTAGGGAGAAAAAGAAGCTATAAAAAGAAGATAGTTTAGCATTAAATAAGTCAAAGCTATTTCTCTGAATGTATTTTGATGAAAAGATAAATTTTTCTAAGCAACCTCACTAATTTCCCATTCACTGACTTTCCTTACAAAGCCTAAGGGATTTCCATTTGCAGAAAGATACCAAACCTCTATGAAGGAATAAGTGCCCAGAGGCAAGTTTACTTGCATGTGTTTTCTCTAAAGCTTTACAAAAGCAGGTGATCTAAGGCCAGGACTTGAAATATCGGCACAGCCTACTTCATTCTTTTATATCTTCATTTTCCTCTTTGTAAGATCTTAGGTAAAGATATTACAGTGCTTGAGCTCTAGGTTCTCACTGTATGTATTCAAGTTCTTGCCTTACTACCTCTGTTCAGGGAGGGTTTCCTAACTCTATCTCCTTGCCTCAGTTTCTCTCTCCCACCCTTTAATCGACTGTGGCATGTTGGTGAAGACCTCAGGATCAAGAACCTAGCAGCCTGGGTGAAATCACAGCTTGGCCACGGATGTGCAATCTTGAGCAATTTACCCAAGTTCCCTGTGGCCTGTCCCTCTTCTGAAAAGTAGAGGTGATAACAGTACCACCTCATAGATTGATTATTAATGTTATGTGAAATGAAGAAGTAAGCACCTCTGACAATGCCTGTCACACACAGGTGTTGAAGCCAGTAGTAGCCACGGGAGGTTGTACTAATGGTATTCAGCTATATACCCAGGGCCCCAGAAATACAGCAGCCTTACTGCAGCCCTAGCCTTCTGGCATATGAGATCCTGGATCCCCAGGGCCATCCAGCAGGGACAGGAGGAATCCTCAGCCTGCAGATGCAGCTCTCGGAGTCACTGATTCAGCCATTAATCAGCCTCTGACACTTTTGCTTTAGTGCAGTGCTAAACCAAATCAGCCTCAGATGTAGTACTAAGCCACATCAGCCTCAGATGTAGTACTAAGCCACATCAGTCTCAGATGTAGTACTAAGCCACATCAGTCTCAGATGTAGTACTAAGCCACATCAGCCTCAGATGTAGTACTAAGCCACATCAGTCTCAGATAGTACTAAGCCACATCAGCCTCAGTTTAGGGCAGTGCTAAACCAAATCAGCCTCAGATGTAGTACTAAGCCACATCAGTCTCAGATGTAGTACTAAGCCACATCAGCCTCAGATGTAGTACTAAGCCACATCAGTCTCAGATGTAGTACTAAGCCACATCAGCCTCAGATGTAGTACTAAGCCACATCAGTCTCAGATAGTACTAAGCCACATCAGCCTCAGTTTAGGGCAGTGCTAAACCAAATCAGCCTCAGATGTAGTACTAAGCCACATCAGTCTCAGATGTAGTACTAAGCCACATCAGCCTCAGATAGTACTAAGCCACATCAGCCTCAGTTTAGGGCAGTGCTAAACCAAATCAGCCTCAGATGTAGTACTAAGCCACATCAGTCTCAGATAGTACTAAGCCACATCAGCCTCAGTTTAGGGCAGTGCTAAACCAAATCAGCCTCAGATGTAGTACTAAGCCACATCAGTCTCAGATGTAGTACTAAGCCACATCAGCCTCAGATGTAGTACTAAGCCACATCAGTCTCAGATGTAGTACTAAGCCACATCAGCCTCAGATGTAGTACTAAGCCACATCAGTCTCAGATAGTACTAAGCCACATCAGCCTCAGTTTAGGGCAGTGCTAAACCAAATCAGCCTCAGATGCCTTAGGTCTAGT